CCAGGGGAGACCCCATGGCTGTCTACAACTTCCTCACGAGGGGAAGCAGAGGGACAGGCACTGATCTCTGCTCAGTGTGAGCAGTGACAGGACCCAGGGAATGGCTGGAGCTGTGTCAGGGGAGGTTTAGATTGGATATAGGAAAAGGTTCTTCCCTCAGAGGGTGGTTGGCACTGACCAGGGTCCCCAGGGCAGTGGGAACGGCCCCAAGGCTGCCAGAGCTCCAGGAGTTTCTGGACAAGGCTCTGAGGGACAGGGTGGGATTGTTGGGGTGTCTGTGCAGGGCCAGGAGTTGGACTTGGATGATCCTTGAGGGTCCAAATCACTCAGAGGTTACCCAGGCTGCGAGGGTGACATAACCCTGCTCCCACTGCCACCAGAGCCCCGTGTCCCAGCTCCGTGTGCCCTCCCCCTCCAACCACACCCCTCTACCCACCTCCTGCCCCTCCAGCTCCCAGACCTGACTGGCACCACCAACCCCCTGTCCCGGGGAGCAATCCCAGCCCTGCCAAGGCAGCGATAAGGCTGCGGGACTGTCCCACACTGCACCCACACAGGCACAGCCCGGCTCTGCTCCCCGCGCTGGGGTGCCCAGCACACCCCTCCCAGGGCTCCTGGCAGGCCGGGCAGTTCCCCGGGATCCAGGGTGGGGAGGGAAGATGCTCGGGAGCGCCCGCAGCTATTCAGTTACCGATGGTTGTGTTTGAAGAGCTTCCCTATCGCCCTTTTGTAAAAGCTTTGGCTTCCCCCCCATAGCCTCAACAGATGAAATCAAAGGGAAGTAGCTCTGCTTGGTGTAACCTGTTTTGATCGAGCAGATAAACGGGGGAACAAGTGTCTGACACAAACAAACAGACAGACAGGGGCAAGTCCCACCTCAGCGTTTTGTTGCATCAGATACCGAGGGCTCAGATAAACCACAAGAAGGGGGAGATCTCTCTCTGCCCCTGGGCTGCAAGACCAGGGGCGACACTCGGCAGTGCCAAGCCCCCACAGTTCCCATCAAAAAAATCAACCCAGAGCTTTGCTGGCATGGCTTTCATCAGTTTAAAGAGATGAAAAGAGCTCGGAGCCAAGCAGAAAACTCACTGCCTGTCATTACCCCCCATGGAGTCAGCGGGACTGGCTGCCTGGGAGCTCAAGCCACGCGTTAAACCAGGCTGGAATCCCGCAGGAAAAGGGAAAGGGGACCCCCAGACTGGAGGGGTCAGGCTGGGAGTGACCCCCCCAGCTCCTGGGTGATGGGGGGAACATCCAACTCGCTCCCCCCCGTGGGAGAAACTGGTGCCTGTTCCCCTCTTCCCCCTCACACACACCATAAAATGGGCAGAGTGGAAGGAAAGGAAGGATTAAGATGCACAGGGTTGGGCAGGGTAGGTGATATTCCTTATAATTTTTTTTTTTTTTTCAATCGCAGCTTTTTTTTTTTTTTTTTTTTTTTTTTTTTTTAATGGCAAAATTCCACTAGGCTCGGAGAGGCTGGAATCAAACCAACCTGGGTTTTGGGAAGATATCTTACTGAAAAGCTTTGAAGCATTTTCTACGAAATTGGATGGATGGAAAAACAACAAAAAAAAAAAAAAAAAGAAAGAAAGAAAGAAAGAAGGAAAGAAAAAAAAAGAAGCCTGATCTTTCCAAACCTCCTACGGAAGATGAACAATTTTAACAATTTTCTCAAAAAAGAAAACCCCCCACAATTATTTCAAACACTTTCAAAGTAAAACAATGCCCCAAATTACCCTTCTTTTTTCCCCCCTCTAAGCCTGGAATTGGCGGAGATATGAAAGGATGAGATTATCCTTCTGCTACTGACACTTCCCATCAGATCTTTAGGCATCAGGTTTAGATCAAGGGCTTGGTTTACAAAAGCATTTTGGCACCCAACTCCCTCCAGGATTATTTTTTTTTTTTTAATATATATAGATTTTTTTTTTTAATTCTTCTTGGAGCCAGTCTGCATCTTTTGGTGATGAAAGGCCTGTGGATATCTGCACCTCGGAGGGTTTCTAGCCTTTGTAAGGTATAATATTGTTAGTTTGGGAACAGCTCTCTCCTTTGGGGGTAACGAGATTCCCGGGGAGTCGTGTGGATTGGTGTAATTCAGTAGGAAATGGGTCTTCAATTAATGAGTCATCAGAAAACAGCTTTTCCCCACATGAAGCCGGTAACCAAAACACTAAACCATCAGGTGCTGCAGTAAATATTCCTCTAACGACGCGCACGGGGGGGAAAATAAAAACTTCCAGGGAAGTTCAGTACAAAGAGCTTGGTTGTTTATAAACAATAATGGTCTGAAAGAGGAGGAAAGGGGGGGGGAGGGAAAAAAACACCACGAGGAGGTTTTTGGGTGAAGCGTCAGGGCTCGGTGTGCCGGGTTACATCACCTGGACCACGGAGTGCCAACGTGTCACCCTGCCCTGGGCACCCCCGGAGGGTCCCACGGGGTGTCACAGAGGGGGACACCCCCTGAGAGGTGTCACAGAGGGGGACACCCCGGGAGAGGTGTCACAGAGGGGGACACCCCGCGGGAGGTGTCACAGAGGGGGGACACCCCGCGAGAGGTGTCACAGAGGGGGACACCCCGCGAGAGGTGTCACAGAGGGGGACACCCCGCGAGAGGTGTCACAGAGGGGGACACCCCGGGAGAGGTGTCACAGAGGGGGACACCCCGGGAGAGGTGTCACAGAGGGGGACACCCCCTGAGAGGGGTCACAGAGGGGGACACCCCCTGAGAGGGGTCACAGAGGGGGACACCCCGCGGGAGGTGTCACAGAGGGGGACACCCCGGGAGAGGTGTCACAGAGGGGGACACCCCCTGAGAGGTGTCACAGAGGGGGACACCCCGCGAGAGGTGTCACAGAGGGGGACACCCCCTGAGAGGTGTCACAGAGGGGGACACCCCGCGGGAGGTGTCACAGAGGGGGACACCCCCTGAGAGGGGTCACAGAGGGGGACACCCCCTGAGAGGTGTCACAGAGGGGGACACCCCGGGAGAGGTGTCACAGAGGGGGACACCCCGCGAGAGGTGTCACAGAGGGGGACACCCCCTGAGAGGTGTCACAGAGGGGGACACCCCGGGAGAGGTGTCACAGAGGGGGACACCCCGCAGGAGGGGTCGTGGCTGGTGCCGGACACCCCCACGAGCATCTCCCGCCCCTCCGCTGTGTCCCCTCGCATCCAGTGTCCCCTCCAGCGATCCCTGGAGAACCAGAAGGGACCAAACAGATCAGAAAAAAAGAGCGATTTCAACAGGTTTCTTTTTTTGTGCCTCGCAAATGAAGGTGATTTACTCGTCCTGATTTCCCTGCTTGATTGGAAGGCTCCTAGAGCACGGCTAATGCCGCCGCGAACATTTTTTGTTATTTAAAAACAAATTGACTTCACTTCTGCGCTTTCTTTCCTCAATTACCACTAGAAAGAGGTGCTGCAGCTCACACTAATGGCCGTCTGGGGAGCTTAGGCTTGAAAAAACCCCATATTTTATCCAACCAAAGGCAGCGCCAGCTTCTGGTTTAACACTATTGACTCCAAGAACAGCAGCAGCCAGAATATCCCACTCCGTTTAATAACCAGAATCAAACACCCGGCTTCCCTAATCTTGATTAACCCTGCTATCCATCAACTCCGTGTGCCAAACATCTCAGGAGGCTCCAGCTCCCGATTTAAGGCCCTGTAACAGCCACCAGGGTTTGGTTTTTTTTGTTTTTGGAAGGGCCTGGGAGGTTTGGGATGTGTTTGTTGCTCAGCAGCTTGGAAACATTTATCTCAAAAACCAACTTGGGGTGATCTGAGAGCCCCGAGCAGAAGCTGAGCTGACCCAAGTCAATCAGAGTTCATGGACGTGAATAGAACCAGATTTTATCTCTGCCTTAGATTGTGTCAAATAACCCAGCTTAATAGCCACGAGCACACTGAGGATTTCTAAATAAAGGGGTGGGTTTAGTCCCTTTAAAACATGCTTAGAGTTCTCTGGGTTAACCAAAATCTCATTTTTTTTCTACATTATCTCAAATTATGTAAGCAAAAGAGACACAGTAAAATCGTTCCACGCAAAGTTTTAACCTCTTGCACATCCACATCCCCCTGCCCCAAGCTTAGGGCTAGAGAATAATTGATTCTTCTGCATTTTCTCTACCAGTTTCGGTTTTTAAAGTTTTTATTTCTAAGTTTATAGCACAGCTTTTAATAATCTTGATTTGCTATACCTAGTGGCCGTTAAAATTATTTCTTATTGCTGCTCACCTGCCTGAAAAGGGACGTGACCATGAGCCTTTGTGAAATTACGGGTCCAAGTCTTGCATTCAAAGCTCCCTGCAGGCAGTGGGAGGGAGGACTGATGGCAGAAACTGATTTTTTTCTGGTGTCTATCACAGCTTTTGGTTGGTAACCTGGCAGAAATCAGCGCTAGCACCTTTCAAACATCACCCTGTTCCTCAGCTTTCCATATTCAAGGAACGCTGAGGCTTTCCAGCCACTGAGCAGCGAGAGCCTGGCAGCATCAGGAGCAGAGGAGGTGAGGGACCCAATCGTGCCTCGAGACGCAGAGCAATGCATTTCTTCTGGAACTACCTCACTGGATTTGATTATTCCCAAAGTCCCTCCCATTTTTCTACACACACACAAGGCCAAAGAAAGGCTTGGTTTGGCCTGAGGAACCGTCCCTGCCGCGGTTCCCGGTGTGATGGGAAGAGCTGCCTGCCCTCCAGGGAGCGGGACCCAGACCGTTCCAGTGCCATCATTCCTTTGGCAAGGCGGGAGCACATTTCCCCGCTGAAGCCACAGAGGACATTAAGGGAGAGGATCTTGCATGCTGATCAAGATAGCAGCGCAATCCTAGCCCAGAGCACATTCCTGATCCACTCCCGGGCTGGCTGGAATTGCGCGGTGGAGCAGCAACAGGAGCCGAGCAGAGCAGAAACTTCCAGCACCCACACTCCCCTTTGCTTTTCCTTGCTTCCCCCTCCCCTCCCTGTGTCCCCCACATCCCAGAGCCTCCTTACCTGGCTCCACCTGGTCCGGTTCGTGCCGAGTGTCTGTGGAATCTGCCGCATCCCCGCTCATCTTGATCTCTGCAAAAGGAGGCACAACTGATTTTAATAACAGGTCACAGTCCCAGGCAACAGGCACATGTGGCTTCCACTAAACAGCACAAATGAATGTGTAATTATAATAAACCATCAGACTTTCAAATTTCTGATTCCTCAACATACAGGCACTAGAATATTCATCAGCTCCGAGGATGCACTTTCCCTCCTGTTGCTCTTTGCATCCCCCTCACTCCTTCTCCCCCTCCCCACCTTGCTGTGGTGCTCCCACCCTTCACCCACAGGACGAGGGGTCGATTCACCACACAGAGTCCCCCCCAGCCCCACTGGGCTCTCCCCTGAGCTTCCCAAACCTGCTGGGGTGGTCTCCCTTTGACACCCTCCTCCACCACACCTGCATTGGCAGGGGATCCCTCCCAGCTCTCCCCTCCTCTCCCAAATCCTCTCCTTGTCCCTCAAGACGGCCCATCAAACTCGTTTTCCCCACTCCATCTGATCCCTATTTGCCCACTGTTTTCCCTGTTTTCTCCCACGTGCTCACACCCCTCACAAGCCACCGAGAAGCTGCTTTGCTCCAAAGCATCATCCCCAACCCAGGAGCACAAAGAGACCTTTCCCATCAAGCTCCTGAATATCCCCCCCGCCCATCCTTATCGAGGCCAACGAATTTGTCATTTACCCTTGAAGTGATGGCTGCCACCACACCCGGGGCCACTTTCTCCTTCGGGCACGGCTGAAAGAAAAGGTGGGAATGGTCAACTTCACCCTGGATTGCTCATCTCCTCCTTAAAAGAGGCCAAGGACACAGCGGTGAAAGAAGGGAGAATATCTATTCAAATTCAGATGGACACCCCCTCGGCTCTTACACCTTTTGCACGGGAATTTTAACCGTTTCCAGACTAGATGGAGGTGAAAAAGAGAGAGATAATTTTTTTTTTTATCAAGACCCGAGTGATTTGCATGTTCTTCCTGCAGCCAATCCCGGCCACAGGCTCATCCCATTTGCATCGGGGAATAACAACAGCGGGGAAGCCGGGCCAGTGTTTGCTGTGGGTTTTTTGGGGTAGAGGAGGCAGGTGGAAGCCATCTAAAAGCATCATGCAAACCTTTTCCTCTTCCCTATATCCACCTTTTATTGCTTCCAAACGGCCAAAAGGATTAGAAGAACCCTGTGGGGTTTTACACCCATTTCCCTCTGTTGCTCACACTAAAACAGGCAGAGCTTTGTGTGTGTTCAGGTTCTGTTCTCCCCTATTTAAACAGAAGATAATCTGCTTTTTGGCCAAGATTTAATATCTTTGATCAAGTTAATGTTTGAAACTTTCTTCAGTAAAGGAATAAAGGTAGGAAGAAAAAAAAAAATCAGGATTTTATACCAGAGCACAGAAACTTTCACATACTTCAGAAACTTCCTTCCCTCAAATTATATTAAGGAGTGAGGGGAAAAAGGAGAGAGAGAGAAAAAAAAGTTGTGGGATTTTTTTTCCCCTTCAAATAAACCCTCTGCAATTAAGACATGAATGTTTAGTGGGGCTTCTAAAGCATTTCTACTGCAGGAAGAGTAATTACCATCAGCTATAAACATCTTCTTGCCTTGTAACACTGCCAAGGGACCCTAACTTAGGCAATCTACAAAGCACAAAGTTTTGCTGCCTGCCAAAAAGTATCTTAAAAAAAATAAGAGGCAAGTTCTCATAAAATAGAGGAAGAAAAATCTAAAAGCCTGCAGAAGTTTGGTGCTTGCTTTGGTGAGAAAGCCTGAAAGCTTGCAAAAAAAAAAAAAAAAAAACCAACCAAAATACATGTTAGTGAAAGGAAATATTTAAACCCCAAGATCGAGGAGCCCTGAATGGGCCCAGAGCAAGAACTGGAACAGCTCAGGCAGAGCTGAGGGAGGGATGAAAAAGCAAAGCAGGAGAAGCTCTGTCCCTCCTGCAGGAGTGACCCCCCACCCCCTCGGCCATTCCGACCTGGGGTGGGTGGGGAGGGAAGGAGGAATTGCTGCTGCAACTCGATTCCATGTGGCATGTTATCCATCAGTGGAATCCCCTCCTCCCGGAGCCGGGAGATAACGAGGTGCCCTGTGACCCTCGTGGAAACAGCACGAGGGTTTTATTTTCACCAAGATTCAAATTCCCATCGTAAACGTGCACAAGTTATTGCTGTTTAAATGTCTTGTGGGGAAAAAAAAAACAAACAACCAAACACAAACAAACAAAAAAAAAACCACAACCAAAAAAACACCAGGAAGAAAAGGAAAATCTTTTTTATCAAAGCCTACTGTTCTGAGAGGTTTGGGGCTGGCCAGCTTTTGTATCCCTGTGGATCATCCTCCAATGATCCTTAAGAAGAAGCAGCAGACATACAGAGGAATCACTTTCTAATATGACATAAGCCAACACCTTTTTATTGACATTTAAGAGTCTCCCACTACAACCAGGACAGAGTGATGCAAATCTAGATTTGACCTCTGCTCCATCCAAAAAAAAGTCCCTCAAAGACAAGGCAGGCTGTGAGACTGAGTCCAACTACACACAGCTTTGCCAGGTTAGCAACACACAGAGAATATGCAGGCTAGGAAAAAAAAAAAAAAAACAACAAAAAAACAAACCAAACCTCTCTGGGAAAAATAACACAACTTAGGACTGCCTAATCCTAAACCACAGCCCTATTAGGAGCCGCCACTGCGGCCTGGGCCATATTAAAAATGTGCTGCTGCACCTCAGCTCCCAAACATACCTGGAGTAGGGGTAGCTGGTTTGTTCACCCAGACCAAAGGAGCTCTACCAGTGCAGACACTTCTCTGGGGATATATCTGCATCTGTATTTTTGCTGAAACAAATGGTGTCAGCAAATAAAACCTTTCCCAAGCCCTTGTTCCCCGTAGCTGTTCAGACATGGGCAAGGGTAAACCAGCCTGATGACTTTAAACATGGAATCCAGCGGTGGAGGAGGGGGACCATCACCTGGAGTCTGCTGAGTGTTTTGTGCTTTAGGTGCCTGAGCCCCTCTGGAAACTGCAGGAAAGGGGAAATATCCAAAATGCCTGGGGAGGAGGTGGTGGTACCCACCAGGGAATTCTCTCAGCAGGGAGGAGGGTGTGCAGAGCCAGAGCAGCCCACCCTCACCTGGCACTCTGTGTCTTCCCACAGAATCATTAAGGTTGGAAAAGCCCAGGGGAAAAAAATGGAGCACACCTCTGCAAGCAGCTTGTTACAAAGGGACCCCGAGGTTTTTGGGGACCCCAGAATTGAACAGACTAAACTGCCTTTGCACAAGAGTGAAAAAACCCCTTCCCACCTCTGTTGGGCTCCCTCCCTGCACAGAAGGTGGTTAAAGCTTCGGTCCTTCTGACCAACAGCACGGGGGGATGGAACCCAATCCTGTGCAGCTCTTGGCCAAACGCACCCTGGGAGAGATGCCACTGGCTCTGACAGAGGGCACAGTATCGACCTGGGGAATCTTCTCGTGAGGAAAGAGTCGCCCACAAGCCCAGAGCCTGCGGGGCAGTGTCCCCAGGAGACCCCTCCCAGCAGCACGGGGGCTCAGGAGAGCCGAGCTCCCAGCCCAGCCCAGCCCACGAGCCTCCTGCAGCCTCTCCTCATGGCCAGGGCTCCCCAGCTACCCCCACAGGGACTCAGCCCGCTCAGGGGGGTGCTGGCTGGCCATGGAGGGGCTGTGGGCATTCCAGAGCTCTGGAGAGGTTGGAAACAGCCATGGAGCAGAGGCTTTGGCCACCTCTGCCAGCCTGACCTGTGTCAGGGGGTGGCATTGCTGCACCATCTGCCTTGCCCTCGGGCCTGTCTGCGAGGCCACAGGCAGGCAGGGATTGTTGAGGGGCTACAAGCTCTGAGCACAGACCCTCCCCAGCTCTCCCTGCACAGCAGGACTCCCAACATCCACAGCATGCCAACAGGCATCCAAGGGAAGGAGCCCTGGACTCCCAACACTCACAGCGTGCCAATAGGCATCCAAGGGAATGAGCCCTGGACAGACTGATGGGTGTCCAGGGGAACTAGGGGCTAACTAGGGGCTAACTAGGGGCTAACAGAGCCTTTTGTGCTGCACAAAGCACCAGACACAGGTCACTAGCACATGGCTTCTGCACCCCAACACCCTCCTGCCTGCCCCTGCCACAGGCAGGGCTATTGGGATCTGGCTGCTCCCACCCCAGCCTTGCCCTCAGCTCCGTGTGCCCAGGGATGTGGTCCTTCCCCTCGAGCTCAGGGGCTTGAGCTGAGGGCAGAAGCTCTGTCAGGGTGAGCTGGAGCTCAGCACAGCTCCAAGGGACTTGGCAGGGATTGCCCTGGTTCCCCAGCTAACTGCAGAGCAAGGTCTGCTCAGAGACAAAGTGATACAATCTCTGGATCAGACCCCCTGGAAGGAGTCTCTCTGAGTATCCCTGTTCATTCATTCCTCACCCAACCCAGCCTCCCACAGCTCTCTCCTCATTCATTTCTCCCTCCTTTTCCCTCTTGCCGTTAACTTTTCTCCTTCCAACCCGTGTCCCATCTCACACACACACACCCCTTGCTGCATCCCTCCGTGAATTTACCCCCTCTCACTCCTCCCAGCTCTATCCCCATGGCAGGACCCACAGGTCCCACCAAACCCTCCTTTCCCAGGTACCCGAGACATTTCTAAGCTCTGCTCCCGGCCCCACGTCGGGGCTGGCAGCGGGAGCGCTGCGCCCACACTGTGGGCATGGCTTGGCAGCCCCCTAAACAAACCGGGGCAGCATCCATCCCCGGGGAGGAATGTGGGCACTTCACCAGCCGCTCCAGCGGGAGAAAACAGGAGGGAAAGCAGGGAGGAAAGGTCGCGGGAATCAGAGCAGCCCCATTTCCTGCCCGAGCCCACGGTCCCAGCGACACGGCGAGCTCCAGCCCGATCCTTCCTCAAGCGCCCTTTACCTGCGTGCACAGACTCCAGGTTCACCATCCTGCTGGCGGAGGGAAATCCGCGGTGTGCCCAGCCTCCTGCCGTCAGCCCCAGGTTGCCAGGGGCTGCCAGTTTGCCCTCCCTCCCTTGCCACCCGCTGCCTCTCGAACCGGCCGTGGGTCCGCTCCCGAAGGGACCTAGAGCTCCATTGCCTGTTGCCATGCAGGGCCAGGTGAGCATGCGGCGCGGTGCCACGCCTCGCCCCACCTCCGGCTCCCTCGGGTGCCCTGACACCCAGCAGCTTGGCGTCAGGCCCATGCAAAAGCGCCCATTTGCATATTAGTAACTCGGGAATGGATGGATGAGTCCCTGCAGCGCTGCCAGGGCGTGGGGTGGGGTGGGAAGGAGGGAGAGGAAAGGAAGGAAAGGCGGGTTGGGTTTGCCCGCCCTCGGCTGCGCGGATGCACCCGCAGCACCTGCCTGCTGGGCTGAGAGCGGGGGGCTCCGCCGGCTGCCCCGCATCCCAGTTGTCCTCGTGGATAAGCTTTTGGCTCTGCCCTTTGCCGTGCACAGGTAGGAGAGGCCAAGGCATCGAGCCAGGCTGGGCAGCAGCAGCAGCAGCCCGGAGGGAAGGTGTTGGAGCTGTGGGAACAGCCCCTCCGGCCAGCAGCCCTTGCGCTTCATTTTGGCCGCTGATAACCCTGGGGTGTGCTCAGGGGGATCCAGCCTGTGCTGTGGAGCCTTTGCATCCCCTCAGTCTGCCTTGAACCTCAGTGATGCCACATGGGACAACCAGCACGAAAAGGAAAGTTAAAAGCAGAAAGGGAACCTGCCTCCGCTAAAGATACAGGGCAGGGTTAGGATTAGCACATGGAGACTCCCCTCTCCTGACACGGGCTCTCCAGGGTACATCTGTGTCCCCAAGAAGAGGAGAGAATAGCAGACAGCTCTTCCTCCTTATCCACTTTGTTTAAAGCTGCAGTATTTACCAACTTCCAGGGAAGACAGGTAAAAAAAAGATTCCCTAACGTTGGCTGCTTCTGTTGGAAGCTGCCAGAGGCCAGAGCCCCAGCTCTGTGCTGTGAAAGGGACCGAGTGACCCCGACGGCCCCAGGTGTCACCATGTGCCACCTTGATGACCCCACCACCCCCGGAGCAGCAGGACATCCCCGTGACAGCCCAACCATCCCCGTGACAGCCTGGACATCCCCGTGACAGCCCGGACATCCCCGTGACAGCCCGAGCCCCGGCGCTGCCTCAGCCCCCTCCTGAAAGCGTTAACGCTCAATCGGTAGCTGCCAGGTACAAGCTATCGCACATTCATCTCTCCCTGGGTAATTCACGTTCCAGGGCTCCCGGCTTTCCCACATACTGCTCTCCCTCCCTGGAAAGACAGGTTTCTCGGAAGAGATGGGTGGGCGGGCAGGATCTCCAGCCTCACCTCCAACCCAGTCCGGAGTTCGGGGGCTGGAGCTGCCCTTGGAGTGCGTGGTCAGGGACCTCCATCCTCGGGAGAGGAAAGGGTGGATGAGTTCAATGGAACAAGGAAAGAGTGGAGGGAAGTCGGGGGAAGAGGTGGAAGGGGGGGAAGTTCCCGGGTCATACTGACATTTTCAGGACTGGAGACTTCTGCAGCCGCCGCAGCGCTGCTCCAGGAAGCAGCGAGGTGACACGGGGCGCTTGGCACAGGCAGCTCCTGTGGAGCTGCTGGAGGGGCTGGACTCCTGCCACCGATCCCCAGCTCCGGCCATTCAGGCCCTGAGCCCTGGGGCGTTCCTGGGCAGCTCCTGCTCCGTTTTCTAGTGTTTTTGTCTGGGTTTTCCCCATCCCGGAGACCGACGCGATCAGGTGTCTTCACTGCGTCAAACACGAGCCCGCCGGTGGCTCCCGGCCAGCCTGAAAGGTTGGGGAACACGAGAGCTCTCCTTCCCCCACATCAGAGCACATTTTGGACACGGATCAGGAGTTTTACCCGACAGTGGGCTTTTCTCTCCGCTTTTCCTGGTGCTTTTCCATCCTCCAGAGTCGAGCAGCCTGTCCTGGAGCCCCAGGAAGGCAGATTCTCCCGGGTGGCATCTCCAGCTGGACAGGAATCCTGGGCATCCTCCGGGCAGGGAAGCTGTCCCGGCCACGGACAGGGCACCAGTGCCCTCTCCTGGCCCCAAACAAAGCTGCGAATGACTTTCTCTGGCGATTATTTTGTGGTCAATGAAACAGCGGGGGCAAGTAGTATTTTGGTGGTTTTCTCCCCAGACAGCCATGGGAGCAAAGCCCATCACCCGAATACCCTGGGCTTTGAGGATGTGCTGTGCAGGGAAGAGAGAATGCACTCTCCTTATTAAAAATAGGGGGTGTATCACAGCATCAGCACTTGAAATAAGACCCCCTTCACCAGGCAAAGGCAGATTTGCTTTAACCCCACCTGAGATGATCACTCCTGGATGTCAGCAGACACGCTGCTCTTCTTTTCCGTGGCCATCAATGAACGACCCTCCTGCTCTCATCCTCACTGTGCTCCTCCAGTCCTGCTGCCAATGTTTATTCCCCTCTCGGGGGAAGATAAGCCCTGCAGATAGCACTTGATTTATGGGCTATGGCCTTTGGACTGGAAGCACCAGCTGCAGAGAGACGTTACAAAATCCCCCACGTGCTCGTGGCCGACTGCACCGGGGAGGTTTCCCGTCTCCACCTGCATCAGCTGCTCTCCGGGGTGTTATTTAAGTGTATCAAGGACTTTTCTCGGGAAAAGCAAATGAGCTTCAGTTGTGTTCTCGCAGGGCTGGGGAGGGCGCGGTCCTGCAGGATGTGCGGCTGGACCATGAGCATCCCTGTCCCGGGCATCGCCGTGCTCCGCCAGCACCCACTGGTGGAGGCCGGGGATCCTGCACCGGGTTCCAGGTACCCCGGAGCCTCCCAGCTACAAAACCAGCACATTGGAGCCCGCAGGGATCTGCCCCCCTGCTCCTTATGTCCGTCCCAGCATCCCTGCCCAGCAGGGAGCAGCGGGAATGGGCTACACAGGACTGCCCATAATCCTCTCCCACCCTCTCCCATCCCACCTGCCCCACAGCTGGGTTTAACTCAGCAACAGGGACAAATCCCACGGGGTCCTGCAGACCCAGGGACAAATCCCTGGCAGTGTTGACCACGTCAGGGAAACAGAAATTACTTCACCTTCCCCAGCAACCAGAGGAGAGGGTAAATTGCCTCGGTGGGTGAAGAGGAGAAGGGCTGAAATCCTCGTCCCATCCCTGCGTTCTCCACACTAGAGGGAATCAGTGCTCCACATTTCTGCCTCCAACCCCTGAGAGCTCTGAGCTGGCCCAAAATTGCCTCCCTCCCCTCCCCTCAGCTGTGCCTGCAGAGGGATTCACAAGGAACACCTTCTGGAGGCTGCAGGACCCAGAGGAGCCTCCAGCCTGTCCCCCCATGGGACCAGGTGGAGAGAGGAGCAGGAACCAGCCCTTGCAACCCCAGGACCTGCTTCTACTGCTGCTCTTTTAGTCACCAGAGCTCAACTCAAAGCTCCCACAGTTGCTTGGGATGAGTCAAACCTGTCTCCCTATGGAGAAGCTGAAAGCATGGAATGGTTGAGGTGCAGGATCACGTTGGTTGAGTGTCAAAAATTCCTGGTCACGCTGAGGGCAGGATGTTCTCCCCCCATCCATGGGTCTGCACGAGGTACAGGTTTGAGACTTACCCATTCTTAATCAAGAACCCAAAGTGGATGGGACAAACCCACAGACAGTATCATGCACAGAGAAAAACTTTCAGGCCAAGGATGCTTTAAAAAAAAATTTATCATTACCTTACAAATGATAAATAATTTGTTTTAAAAAAAACAAAAAATCATTTCAAGTGTGTTTTACTTCATGTTCCAATATTAAAATACCTTTCCCTTCTCCCCCCCTTAAGTGATCGATACAAAAATAATTGTGACCAAATTATTTTTTCTTTTTTTTTTTTTGTCAAAAATTCCTGTGTTTTAGGCAAAAAGGCACGTTGTGAAGGCTTTTCACCAGGAGGCACAGGGGGTCCCAAAGACCCCAAGAGCTTCTTTCTCCTCCCTCCTTGTTCTAACTTGAGGCAGCACTGCTACAGTGCTTTTTGTCTGATCCCTCCAGGTTTATACCAGGGCCAAGGTCAGCTTCAGTGTCATCCCTCTTTAACATGGGGGGGAAATCAAGGCACAGCAAAGAGTACAATTATTTAAGAGCTTCTTGTGAATAGCTGGCAGAGTAGGACATAAAACTGGACGTAGATGTAGGATGTTGTCTCCTTCAAAACCCACCTGGGATCATCCTCTCCCCCTGGAACCACAGAGTTAGGATGGTAGTCAAGAGTCACAGGACCAGCACAAAAAGTTGGGCCTTCACTAGTCTAAACAGGGGTTAATTAGAGCCCTAATTACCAGCCCTTTAAGGGGCACAAGTCATTGCTAGGATATATCCCTCCATGAAATCTCTGGCCACAGGAAGGATACAACAGCCAGCAGGGCACTAGAGAAAGGTACAGGCAGCTCTTGCTTTGGGTGGGCTTCGTACCTTCCTTGCTCAGGGGATGTGGTCCCAAAAATCAGCTGTTTTCCCACTGGGAGGTGGTGAAGTCAGCGAAGGGGGTTCTTCAGTGGCAGAGATGTCTGACAACCCAGGTCAGCAAGGCCATTTCTCTCCCTGCCCCGACCACGCAGCTCGAGGCTGGTGGCTGATCAGAGCTGCCCCTTTCACTCCAGAGCAGGGCAACACACCCCCTTCCCAGTGCTTCACCCCCAAAAACCTGCATCCCCTGCTCCCAGGGAGCTGGATTTCTGGCAGCTGGCAGGAGAGCATCACACACAGCGAGCTGGGCCCGCTTGTCCCAGGATGAGGCAGCGGCAGGTGGGGAGGGAGTCACAGGAGGCCGGAAGGAAAGGCACACACACAGAGCTCTCCTGGCACAAGGCACCGCTGTGAACAGCATTCCTTCTTCGGAGCAGCCAGCTCCAGGAGCCCTTGGCATCGTGAAGAGCGGCAGGAGACGAGCTGCCCCTCGGAAAAGTCCCGGGAAGCTCTGCTAAGTCTCCTCATCCCAGAGGCAGAGCTGCTTCTGCGGCACGTAGTAGTCGAAGGTGTAGCCCTTCTGGCAGCTGCGGATGCCACACTTGTAGGAGGAGACCTTGCCCCCGGCGTCCCGGCTCTTGCAGTACTTGAGCATGCAGGGGTACCACTCGATGCTCAGCGAGTAGCTGCAGATGCAGGGCTTCCAACGGTCCGGGCACAGCCGGCAGCGCTGCAGCTCCGGCAGGTCCGAGCCCTGCGGCAGCACCTCGAACATGGAGC